TTATACGGAATGTTTGTTGTTGAATAAGTAGTTGTTTCACGGTCAATCCAAGTTGAAATTTCTGCAACATGATCTTCGGAAATTATAGTCGAAAAAGAGGTTCGTGCTGGTAATATAATTGATTTTATTTGTCGTTTAGGAGATGATAAATGATGTTTGATATCTTTCCAAAGTTGCTCGTCAAGAATCTTTTTGTAAGGCCTAATTAAACATTTGACTTCATCAGCTGAAAGATGAAAGAAGCGAATATATAATAAACATTGTTGCAATGTAGTTTTTAATGTCATAATATTTTCCTTGGACCATTCTCCAAGGTTTGTAGGAAGAGTAGGATTCTGAGCAATTCCCCAATTGATGATATAATTCCAAATTTTGACTTCTTTCATGTGCAAATCATCTCTTTTGAGAAGAGACACCAGCGTAGGTTCTGGAAGAGAATTAAAATCTGAACTTTCAAAAATTAGACTTGGTTCATTTACAATAATATCGTTAAAAAAATTTTGCAAATCAGTAAAATTTTTTCTGTCAAAAATAGTATTGCAAATCATAGAAAAATGGGTTTTCAACCATGAAGCTTTGGTTTCAATTAGAAAAGCTTCTATTTTGTTGGCTAATTCTTCGAGTTCGAATTCATCAGAAAATAACATTAATTCAAAAATAAATAAATTTTCGACGCTTTCTAAATTAACTATTCCTCCATAAATATACCTGCATTAATTAATTTAAACGGTAATACTGTACTGTAAATAGAGTAAATTTTAATTAAGTATTGTTTTTATTGATAATTACTTACTTAAGAATGACATCGAAAATTTGAGCTGAAATGCTTGACTTAATAATAATAATCTTAATATTATTTTCATTTGACTGAGCGTTTTCTAATTCTTTACGAAAGTATGATGATCGGTATTTTAATATGGATGAATGTGCCATGAAAGATTTTTCCTTATTTTTAACTTCAATGATTACATTGTAATCATCTTTGTCATTAAGAAGTTCAATAAAGTTTTGAGATAACTTGTCGAAAAAATGCAAAGTCATTTTTTTTTATTTTTGAAAATGGAATCGAAAACAAAGAAAAATTTGAAACTATTAAAAAAGGGGTAGTACATGTTTATTTTGATCACAAGTTCACACAAATTTGCTAAAAACATAAATTTCTTCATTTGAACTTTATACATGATTATACGTCATGTGTCAGTCACGTTATGCTATAAAATTTGCAAAAGTATCGTTTTTGATATATCTCTATGGTTTAGACTTAATTTTAAGAACGTGATGCAACTATTATACATTGTTCACGTGATATATAAAATGAAAATCATGTGCCAATCGAATAATGGTTGCGCACGTTACAATAGGAGTGCATAAAATTTGCAAAGTATCACCTAATTCTTCAATTTTCTTCAACATCTACAAACTCCATCAATATAATCAACTCGCCTCAATCCAAATTTAAACAATCAAAGCCCTAAAGCTCAGTGACAATAAACATAAATTTCCCGTCAACCAACTACAATGATAAAAAATTAATATTGCATTGCAGTTTTCTTATTTATTCTGAAATTGGTAAATCGATTAATATATAGTTTGAATTTGCACGATTATTTAATGATTTCTTTAATTTTGATTAATTTCTTATCAGAATTTCGTCCTGTTTTATATGTTAAAAACTCATTATCAGCAATATATAACATTGGTACTAAATCGAGGTAATAAATTTTTGGTGATCAGTGATTCATGGTATTGGTTCTTTTTATTTCGTATTAAAACATTGGTATAATTGTTTGTGAAGTATCATAATTGTTTACCTATATAACAATTCATTTTCTAAAACCATTTGCTTCAATTCGAAATAGCATTAAGTTCGATTAATTATTGGTGATACAATACTTTACATTACTCACGGGCAAATACACATGTGATACAGGTAAGCACGAATTCACGAAAAAAAATTTACCCATTATCTCCGAAGCTAAAGTTTTACACATATTAGACAAAAATAAACACAAGATGTGAATTTGGTCCAATCTACCTCACGAGGTAGTCTTACAAAACGAGTTTAACTTTATTATTAGGGTGTACAAAGCTTAATTCCGTGTGTCATAATTTGTGTTTATTATTATTTATTATTTTATTATTTTATTATTTATATATTATTTTTTATTATTATTTATTTTATTATTATTATTTTTATCATTATTATTTATTTCTTATCATTATTTATTTTATTATAATTATTTATTTTTTTATTATTATTTGATTTTTCATTATTATTTATTTTTTTATTTTTTTATGTTTAAGTTTTCAAAAAATTTTATTTGTGTACAATAATACTAAATGTTTTAAATAATAAAATGTACTTAATTCTCATTATTAACAATTTCAAATGCTTCGTAATTGAAATTAGAAAATCATTTGATAATGTCTTTATTGGTTTTTTGTAATAATTTTTATATCCATTATTCAAAGTAAATTCATGTTCATTAAAACTTCAGCATAAAAAAAATCATATCCAAAATATGGACTACACTTATTTTGATCATCTTTTGCGTACATTAAGAATTGTCATTCCAAAATAGATTACTCTGCTAGAAATTAAATTTTTGGATATTGCCATTTTCAATGAGAAAATGAAACCATCTTTTGTTTGTATCCATTGTTATCATTATTCCATGCTAAAAGATTATGACCTCCATCAGTTCCTTTGACTTTCATTACCAAAATTGGACTAGCGTGGCCATGACTATTATCTCAAAATATTTGTGAAGCAAACCCTACTCAAATTTATATGGATGAAATGATAGTTGTTTTATGGTCGATCCAAGTTGATATTTCTGCAAGCATGTACTTCGGAATTATAGTGGAAACCATTCATAAGGCTGTATTTCCTAAACTAAAACAGATCTGGCTGGTAAAATAATTGATCTTACTGGTCATTCAGGAAATAATAAATATCTTTCCAAAGTTTAGAATCTTTTGAAGGTCTAATTGAATCTATAACTTCATCAGCTGAAAGGTGGAAGTAATGAATATATGGGTGTCATTGTTATAATGTAATTTTTAATGTAAGAAAATTTTCCTGGTAAATTCATCAAGGTTCATAGGAAGAGCAGGATTTTGAGCAATTCTCCATTTGATAACATAGATCCAAATTTTAACTTCTTCTAATTGCAAATAATCTTGCTTGGGAAGATTCCTGAAGAGAAGTAAAGTCATCTGTGTCAAAAATAAGAGTAGGATACCTGAAAAAAATATTACTGTATTACAAAATTTTTTAAAGTTTGTTTTACTAAAAATAGCACAATAAACAAGAGAAAAAAGTACTTTTAACCAGGTCCGCAAATATCAATGCTACTGGGATGAAATACATATCATTCTGTAGCCATGAATAAGGTCTTTCTTTTAGAAATAGCTTAGTAGAAAATCGCTCTATGTGGACAAAGTCAAAAAAACTGTAAAGGAAGCTTTAGTATCAATGAGACAATCAAAAGTTAACAAAATGGAAACACTGGATATATTATTCATGCAATTGTCTGTATGACAAAGCAAAAGCACGAGTTATTATTATGCATAACGTTTAAATAAAATTATCTTTTTTCATTATCTTGCTTGTTCCTCTTGCTGCTTCTTTCAAATATGGCATTGAATTTTTATAAAAATTTATCAAATGATTTTATTAAACTTTTAGAAAATGGTGATGAGCATAATATCATTATCAAAGTTGGAGAATGTCCAGTTATGCAAACTATTAATGTTCATTCAACAGTCTTGTGTTACTGATATCCTCATTCTACTGAGATGGCACAAATGTTACAAGAGTGTTGTGCAAGTTTTGGAGTATTACAAATGTCACAAGAATAATATCAAGATAATGGTGAAACCTAGATACATGTACTATATTTGACCACTTATGTATTTATCTGCATAAATTACATTTATCTGTATTTATATTTGCAAATATATTCACATTAATTTATATGAAACACCAAATATATTTGCATATATTTGCGAATATATCCATATATATTTAGTTTTTATTAATTACAAATATATCTGCTTATATTTGTAAGTTAAAATTTCCTGATGTACCATCCAGAATGACAGATTTTTCATCCTCAAATAATATTTTTCATTCTTGTGTGTCATCTTTAAGAAAAAGGGAGAAGCATGCTCAGATATGACAATAGAGAATAAGATAAACAACTCAAAGATATAAAATAACTAGAGAACCCTTTTGGAAGAGATAGACACCTTTTGAAAAATTTAGACTTATAATTTTGGAGATTTATATTTTATTTCCTTATATTTACATAAAATATAATAATAAAAATTTTCTTGAAAAATTTACAACAGTTTAGTAAAAGAAATAAGACACATCAAAGTAGTAATATATTTCTGTTACTGCACTTTGTAATAAATTTGATAACAATAGTAATAATTTTGAAATATCTCATAATACTTCAATAAATTTTATTTTATAATAAATGGTAATAGAGATAGATATTCTACCTATGATAATATCTTTATTGTCAAAGTTTAAATAAACTTGATAAACTATTCTGTTTCTCTGAATAAAGTTATTGTGCAAAGTTTGAGGCCAAGATTCAAAAGTTTGCATAGTAAGCTATAAGAGGATACTTTTACTTTACTTACTTATGTACCTTTATATTATACCTGTGTACACAATTATGGAATTATTTTAGTAGTTTTCTATAGTATTTAGGCAAGTGACAGCTTGATTTTAACTATGGAAAGGGTATAATATGATATATGACATACTGTATACGAAAGTGCAAAAGAATATATTATTACATATGACATACTATACACAAGTATACAAAAAAGTATAATATGAATTCAACTTAGTAAGACTAATCGTTAACTAATTATTTTGAAATAACATGGGTTATGTTTTTTGTACATTGCTTCAAATTTTTCTATTCTTTCAGTGACCTTAGTTTGGAATTCTTGATCTCTAATCATCCTTGAACAGGTAATCACAAGATAGTCTGTGGCTTGGCATTTCTATAACAGGTTTTAGTTTTAATATCAACAATCTGTGTATTAAAGTTAGCTGTTTCCCATTTTAATTCTAAGGCATTATCACATTCTTCATTTAGAGCAAATGAAATAATCACTTCATTTTTCCTTCTATTATTCCTGGTACAAGGAAAATAACAAGTTTTTGCTCCTAATTTTGTTACATGGAAAAATAATTCTCTGACTTCATACTGTAGGAAAGATCAATAACCCTTGCTACAAATTCTCCACATGATTTAAGATTATTTGCTGTTTGATCTAATTGTGTTACTCTAATTAAATCTTCGTCAATAATATTACTCCAATTTTCTAATACACTTTTAGCTATCTCTTCCTCTTTAAAAATGACTATGACAAATTACCACTGTTACCTCTGCTTTTATTTTTATATTTATTAATTATTTATTTATATATTTTATTATCATATTTATT